CATTCCTGTAAATGCCCAGCAGTAGAAAATAAATTTGTGTTACATTTAAGGCTCAAGTGGAGAGAACAGAAGTTTCTGAGCTTAGCATGCTCCATCAGCATTTCTGTTGTTATCATTCTGAATAGAATCCTTACTTCCGAAAAACGGTGTTTATTTTCAAACTGTGATATGCATACATACTTAAAACACTTTCTGTTCTTAGTCTTCACAACAGGCCTGTTGGGTAGAAGTGCATACACCATTCTTTGATGGGTCGCTACCCAAGTGTAACACGAATATTGCCGTGTTAAAAATGTGTGATTTTTAACTTTATCCACTAGATGGCCTTTGAGTTTGCAGAAGCTCCCTGAACGCCAGTAGAAACACCTCCTGACTTTTTAGCTAGATCAAACTTTGACATGTAAAGGATTTCGGTTTAAGCCTTTCCTAAAGTTGTCTTTAGCAGCTTGAGCTGGTATTAAGCATTTAATTGAAAACTTTTGAGCAAGTAAAACGGTAGAAGTAACAACCTAAAGGCAAAAACTAAAAATGGTAAAACAAAAGAGGGTGCTGCAGACAGAGGTTGTCTGGAGCTATTTGAAGTGTATGGTATCATGGTGGATTTTTAAGTTTGAGCAAAAAGTTCTGCATTACCTTCTACAGTATTCTTCATGTCATTTGCCTGGTTTTTAGTGAGTGAGGCCATGGGTTTCATTGATTTCTGGCAGCCAGGAGGCCAATATCTCTGAGGCCTAAAAGATTCTGACATCTCAGAGCTGTGAAAAACCTAGTTCCTCCTGGAAAATTCTATTAAGTCCTTTATCAAGCATATTTATTCACTATGGTTGTCAGACATCAAGATTGCTATGATGTTAAGCAGAAGAAAGAGGAAAGTCAGAAAGAAGACATAAAAGTGCCCCCTAATTTTATTTTATTTTTTACTTTCTGTGTTTGCCATTAGTTCTGGAAAGATACGTAAATGTATTAAGGCTGCTAGACTCCCACCAAAATCCTTGAGAACTTAGATATATGCTTTGGATTTAGAAACCTAAGTATATTTTATAATTGTAAAAATCTCTTTGTAGACAGTCACTTTCACTCTTTCATGGACTAGCAGTTGCACTTCCTGCCTGTAGCACTTGGGCAATAGTGTCAGTGCTCAGGCATTACTCCAGAGTGACAGACTATTCTTCCACAGACCGTGCAAGAAAGTGGTTGCCATTCAAATTATCGGCAAAGCTGAAACTAGCTAAGAGTCATCTGTCATGTAATTTTGCAGAGACAAACAGGAAGAGTGGTGAACCTGGGCATGTTTTGTATGTTACCCTTGCACCCACCCTCTCTTCCTTTTGGCAGAACAGGAAACCATCTTCTGTTTTTCTTCTTTTTTCTTAAGGAATTAGAAAAAAAGATAAAAGTCATGACTTCTGCTACAGTTGAGCCTAAAAGCCCTAGCATAAGATCAGTGTTGTGAAAAGCTGTTGTGCATGTATCCAGCACTCTAGATAATACTCTGGGATCCTTACAATGCAATTTGTTTTACAGATGGGAATCCATGTTCCATGGCATCAAGCGGTTTGCACAATCCTGTTGGGAATCTGTAGCACTGTTAGGAACTAAACGTTATGTATCCTGAGCCCTAGCCTTTTTTTTTAAAAAAAAACAACACAAGATCTAAGCTTTAAACTAATGAAATTATGCTTTGTTGAATCTTGGTTAAAAAAAAATAATAATTAGCACAAAACAGTGGTTGTAGTTCTTAAAAGTTAGGCTGAGACTTAAGTGAAGACTTAGGAGCTAATTTTTAATCCAGTTTTTTGCTATGGTTCAGACATGGAATAGCTATGGAGGCCTTTACCACATGTCTTAAGTGTTGTGACTCATCTAGAGGTGCTAAATTTATGAATCTGAACTTATTAATCAAAACTATTTTCATGATGTGGTGGCAATCTAGTATGGTCAGTGAGCATGTCCGTAAGGGAGCTATGGAAGTGCTTTTCTTGCATCAGACTCTCCATCTTTCCACTTGCCCAGAGATCCTGGATGGTAATTCAGTTCCTCTCAATCTTTTCCAGGCTTTCATTAAAGCCTATCTTGGGGAAAAGAGATCAAGTACATAATCTTTTGAGGTCTGTTCCAGACTTGTAGAGTAATATCCTGGGTTTGTGTATGCACTCCTGAATCTGTTTTAGGATGAACTCATTCCCCTCTTTCATCCTTGGCTATGTTGCAATGTTTGCCTATGATTTCTATAATTTCTTTTCCAAGGAAAACATACAAGATTTAAAAAAAAACAACAAAACACCAGTCAGATCATTACAATGTTGTTGTTAAAGAACGCTGTGAAACTTTCTGATTCAGTTCTCTTTCACCAACAGATCTTCAAAAAACTTTTATGAAACTTATTGTGATTTAAGTTTATAGCTCAGTGCTCCATCAAATGGACTACATTGTCAGAGCATGGGAGTTGCAGGCTTATCCTTTTGTGCCACTAACTAGTGAGTTTCCAGATTGAATACTTTGAAGCTTTCTTTTTGTTTTTGTTACACATGCTTGTGTAATTTTATTAGGTATACTGGACAACAGTTTTCCAGTGGATCAAGTGGCTTTTGTCATATTTTTAAATGTACTGATGTTGTGTGCGTATTTTATTTTTCTTCTGGGTTTTTCTCCTACTTTCTCTGCTTGTATGTCTGCTTTAAACTCTCTTCTTTTATTTATCATAGAAACATAGAATGATTAAGGTTGGAAGGGACCTTAAAGATCATCAAGTTCCACCCCCCCTGCCATGAGCAGGGAACCTTACCCCTAGAACCCCACCAGGTTGCACAAAACCTCATCCAACCTGGCCTTAAAAACCTCCAGGGATGGGGCATCAACAACCTCCCTGGGCAACCCATTCCAGTTCCTCACCACCCTTATAGTGAAGAATTTCTTCCTAATATCTAACCTAAATCTCCCCTCTCTCAGTTTAAAACCATTACCCCTTGTCCTATCACTATCTTCTCTGATGAAAAGCCCCTCCCCAGCTTTCCTGTAGGCCCCCTTCAAGTACTGGAAGGCCACTATAAGGTCTCCCCAGAGCCTTCTCTTCTCTAGGCTGAACAGCCCCAACTCTCTCAGCCTGTCTTCGTAGCAGAGATCCTTTGTTCATATTGGTGGCCCTTCTCTGGAACCTTTCCAACAGGTCCATATCTTTCTTGTGCTGAGGGCACCAGAGCTGTACACAGTATTCCAGGTGGGGTCTCACCAG